ATTATATATCCCCGCACAACAAATATGAATGCCTCGATATTTGTTACACCATAAAATGGAAGAGATCTAAATATTTTGTCCGTTGTATCTGGCTGATCAAGCGCCTGCAATATCGAAATGTGTAACGTAGACAGTTTCGACAAAATTATGTAAATCGTTTATCAGTGCAATACATATGCAATACGCATGCACTTATGCAATGCAATGCAAAATGTGAAGAAATTAACAGAACAGACATGATGCAAGAACGGAAGAAAATATCTATTTCTGTTTTATTAATAATTCAATTAATCTATTTAATTAATTTATTTTATTTAATATATGCTTTACACTTACGGTTACGAACAGGAATGCTAAGAAACAAATCATTATCGTATTTCCTAGAAATAATATCAATGCGATAAATGAATACATATTCTCAATCTGTTGTGAGAAGTAAATGATTTTTTGATGTTTTTGAATAATTTTGCTTATCGTAGCAGCAACAAATTCATTTTCCTTCATGTTCGGTTTAGGCATAAGTTTCGCCAGCCAACAACATACAATATCTATTTGACCACCTACGTGTAAGCTCTAAAAAGAAAGAGTTCGACATCTTTGGAAATGAAGAGATTTATATTCAAATTAACAGTAGTATTAACATATGCACATAAGCAACAAAAATAGTTTTATTAGTCTAGGATTTGACAAATTGAACGCTAAATTAACGTATCTAACGTATAGAGTAAATTCAAAATCAACTTTTTGCTTCAAGATGTAATGACATTTTTATTTACTTTTATTTGAATAATTATAGATTTATGTTTATGACTTAATTATTCACGACTTACCAAAGTTAATATTAAAACGTTCACCAAGGCCGAGCACCAGCCGGTCATGATAATATATATCAGTTCTATGGTTACTATAGATCTGTACATACGTTGTGTGGTTATTTGGAAGGGAAATTCCATTTTAACAATGTGTGGCAAATTGCTTTGGGTTACATCAACATCGCCGAAGACAATGCCTATGCCATATAAGGTCACAGCTACTGTCTGGTAAATGACGACCGTATTAGCAACTCGATCCGATATTTTTGCCTTGTTTACTGCCTGTCGCATTTCGATGTCACTCTTAGCGCAATCCTTCCAATCTTTCGCCATGATTGTTAAAAGTTCTTTTAATATTCTATATTTAGATTATAAATTTAAATTATACTATGAATTTAATAATTTCTTTATCTTTTAATTATAAATCATTGAGTGTCAAAATTATTACTCCCCTTCTTTCTTATTTTTATAAATTGTATGGCAATTCAAGAAGAAAAGAAAGTTTATTAAAAAGTATTATTAGTGAAAAATATATGTGTCTTAATATGTGCACATGTACATTAATGTACATTTCCTGGCAAATAGAATAAGTTTCGATAAAATTAATCAACGATATAAAAGAAAACAGAATAAATTTCAGCACATGTTTATTAAAATATATTTGTGTATTATGTGTTTTATTAATTATGCACCGTACCGCGTTGCTTACCGCTGATTAAACCAAAGCAAGAAGAATTTGCAGACCAATTTTATGCACCATACGAAACTACTGATACAATCAATCAATTCAAATATGCTGTCAATACGATAATGTATCATGAGATATTGATACTGAAGAATTATAAAGATTATTGCTGTGCTGCCCCAAAACATTCTACAGAACGTAACGCACGTTGCGTCTGGCCAGACACCGAATAAAATTAATATAATTTTTAACGTAAGATTAATTGTGCTGTTACGGGTCTTCATTTATTCTTATCTGTCGCTGTATACACAGACAAATATATCAAGATACGTATGTATATGGTGTGCAAAAATATTGAAGAAAATTGAAATATAGGAATATAGGAAAAGAAATGTAAAAGAAATGTGTTTCACTAAATGTATATATTTCGTCACCGATATTTCGATGTTATATCATCAAATATCCGCGTGAAGACTGGGAGGTCGTAAGAGGTCGTCATACAGGTGCACCCCGGAGCCAATAGCCAATAGGAGTTGCTCATTAAATATTTGCATCGTACTGTGCGTAAACTATAAACGCATTCGTTATTTTTTCTCCCCACTTTGATGCGAGGAAGCAATAGGCAGGATTATTTCTCCCTCTTTCTGGTCTTTCTGGTCTGCCAGTTCATAATCGCAATTGTTTAATCTTAAATATGCAATGATACATGCGGACATAGGCGGGACAATGTATATCCGATGACGAATGGGCTTGAAGACTCTCGGGGTAATTTTAAAATCTGGAGGGGGGAGTAGAGAAACATTCAACGGAGAAATAGAAAATATTGCGTGATGTTATGGGGACGTGTACACATCTGTGCGTCGATGCTGTAACAATATTCGGCGAAAGATTAATCAAATCACCTGTGGATGACAGTTAAGTAATGTAAAAGTAAGTAATTTATTATAAAATAAAATTGTGGTATATATCTATGTCTCGTAATGTCGTTCAAAACGATTTGATACTGTCAATACTAGAGAGATATTTATTTGGAAAATATTAAGTTTCTTCGAATTTGCTTTGCCTAACTTTAACTATGTGTACATTATATCTCAGAGTTTCAGAGTTTGAAATATTTATATTCTGCATCATGCTCTTTAAATTATTCTACGTGTGTGTACTTGAAAAAAATAACGTGTGTTCTGTGTTTTTTTCTAAATGATTTGCACATTATTTGATGTGTGTTTCACATGTATTGATTGAGAATATTAATCAACGGACGCTCACTGCATCGCCAACATTACTGATAAATACGATCCTGAAGCATTCATGATCTATAACAGTGTAATTTGTATTAAAAATGTATAAAAATATATAAAACTATCTATATATATAAAATTATAAATTTATAGGAAATTATTTGTGTATGTATTGTAAGCAAACGCATTTTAAATAATATCATCAAAAATGTCTGAAATCAATCATGTGCAAAAAAATTTACGTGTTAATTAATTCTAAAAGCGAGAGAAATAAATATTTTTTTATAACGACCATTACATATGTTTTTGATAATAAACACATATAATTTTATATATTAATATTATTTGCACATGTACGTATATATGTATAAATAGTTTGTAAAATTAATTTATGCACTATATATAATTCTTACACTTGCAAAATATTCTAAGGAGAGATTTGCCATTTTTCCAACAGTAAGCGTCAGTTGTTTTTGCGATCTTAATATTATAAACGATAAAATATGAGTATCCTCAGGTTTCAAATTGTACCATGCAGAATTGTATGCTGCGATACCGATTGCTTTACTCTAAGCGAAAGGAAATAATAAAAAATTTTTTATTTTGTTTTACAAATATGTCATTTTTAATATTTAACATTTTTTAAAATTTATAATAAGATTTATAATATTTGTTTATCGTCTTATTATTTTATATAAATTTATTTTATAATAATTTTTAAATATTTTAGTAAAGTTTAAAATTGCACGTCACATTATTTTATCGTTATGGTAAACATTATATAACTGACCTTATTTTTTAAGTATTCTCCAGCAAAGCAAAATACAAATGCTTCGAGATTCGTTATGGTATAAAATAGAAGAGATCTCATTATCTGCTCTGTTGCATTAGGTGTGCCGATTGCCTAAAAATGGAACAAAATGAAAAACTTTATTTTTATTATTTAAAAAATTATTAGCTTATAGCGCAATCATTAATTATTTCTTCTATTTGTGTAACTTATTTAATAAAATAAAATACAATAAAATTAATATGCACTTTTATTACACTCTCAATGTAATAAAAGCAGTTATTGAAAACAGTATTTTAATATCTTTTGCTTACGCTTACGATAAGAAATCCTAATGAACATATCATTATTGTATTTGACGCAAATTGTAGCAATGCAATATACGTATACAAATGCTCAACGTTTTCTGAAAGATTTATGATTTTCTGATGTTTCTGAATGATTTTGTCTTTTGTGATTGATTCGTGCTTTTTTCCACTCTTAGACGCAAAATTCGTCAACCAATAACATAGGATATCCATTTGACCACCTATATGTAAAACCTGACAATAAAAAACTGTCAACATATGGTCTACATTAAAAAAAACCACAATTGTGGAACGGCTTAGAATATTAGAAAAGAGCAATATAACGCGAAATGTGAGAGAAATAAATTTTACGAGACAGAGCTCCAATTTTGTGAATGTCACATGCTTTTTCCAAAAACTTTTATGAAATAATGTTGAATATTTCTTTGCTATTGGAACTATTGTTTATAACAATTACTTATATATTTTTTTAACCTTACCAATGTTAAAAGCAAAGCATTTACAGCACCAGCTGCCCAACTGCACATGACGACGTACACACATTGCGTGATTAAAACCGCTTGATATGTTCTTTGTGTATTCACGTCGAAGGGAAGTTGCATTTTATGAATGTAGGGTGGCTCGAATGATTGGTCGGTGACGTCGACATTAGCCAGGATGATGCGTGTGCTGTATGCAACGGCGCTGACCGTGTGAAGAATAATCATTGAGTTGGTAATGCGACTTGATAATTTCGCCTTATCTATTGTTTCATACATGTTGTTCTCATTATCGGCGCAACTATCCCAATCCTGAGAAACCATTTCCAAAGTTTTGATGAATTTTCTGTGGATGATTGTGTTCGTCGGTTATCCTATTGATCATAAAAAGGTTTATTTCAGGTCTTTAAAATATTACCGAATAGCTACCTCCAAAATTGGAATTTTTCTGTTTTCTAAATTTTTCT